TCATTGCTTCCGTTCAAATTTATTGCTGTCTTACAATGAATCCAGCAATAATCCATTGTAAATATCCTAACTTTAGTTTAGTGTATTTAATACATTAAGTGGTTTCCAAAATTTCTCCAGAGAGAGAAAACCAGCAGTGAAAGTGTATGAAAGAGGGAGAATCAGTCATCCTTTGAATAGACAGTAACTGTGACTGTATTTCTCTATTTCTCTTGGCTATTAATTGTGTGCATGTACCATCATAAAATTAAGATGTTATTTTACACTACAACATGGTTATGTGTCTTCAAGTGGAGTTGGGGAGTCAGACTGGTTTCAAATTAATCACATTCTTGTTACTTCATGGATTTCACTTAGCAGGACCCTCTGGGATATTGACACGTTAAGTAGGAAATTACCTTTATATATATATATATATATATATATATATATATATATATATATATATATATATATATATATATATATATATATATATATATATATATATATATATATATATATATATATATATATATAGCATTCTGTGGTCCGGAAACTCCCGTGGTCCGGAACGATTTTAGTTTGTCCAATAGGTAGATAGGCAGTTTTTTTTACTTATCTGAATTATTATTATTATTACAGGAGTATTAAATTTTTGCCCCTCAGGCCTCAATGTGGGTCAGTGACCTATGCCCGGGTGGGCTAATCCCCTTAAAAAAAAAAAAAAAAAGCCGCGGGAAATTAAGGTTTGTTTACATCCGGCAGTTCGGCTGCTCTCTCTCTCTCTCTCTCTGCTTGTCTATACAGAGTACAACATTTAACCCTTCAATATATATGAGCAGTAAATAAGTGTTGCTTTCATATTCTTATGTAGAGTAATGACGATATGTTTTCATGTGCGCACTTACATACGCGCAGTCTCACTTTTTTTTACCATTAATGGTTAGCTACTTATATTGTTCCATTTATTAACATTAAATAACATTACAGGTACTTCAAACAACCATATTAATTTTTTTACATTAATTTTACTACAGCTAAAATCAGGGTCTTATTTTCTTCAGTTTTATATGTAGAACCAATCAGTCACTGGTTTCGTAAGCTTTAACATAGTAATGCCGGCAGCCATCTCGTCTCCTCTAATATTCCACGTATTATTAATAATTTGTATTGTTAATTTTGCACACATACATTAATTCAATAAAAACAAATTCAGAAACATTAATTAAAATATACAGGTATATGAACAGTAAATAAGTGTTGCTTTCATATTCTTATGTAAAGTAATGACGATATGTTTTCACGTGTGCGCATGCGCACTTACATATGCGATCTCTCTTTTTTCTTTACCATTAACGTAAGCTACTTCTATTGTTCCATTTATTAACATTAAATAACATTACTTAAAGCAACCATATTAATTTTACTACAGCTACAACCAAGGTCTTATTTTCTTCAGTTTTATATGTCGAACCAGTCAGTCACTGGTTTTGTAATCAACGAAAACAATGCTGTGTCATTTCCTTGTGTGTTTTAATATTCTACGTATTATTAATGAATTGTATTGCTCATTTTGCACACATAAACATTAATTCAATAAAAAAGACACTCAGTAATAAACAATAATGAATCTTTTGTACATAAGAGAAATGACGCTGTTTACACGCTTATGCACGTCGTCTGCACGTTGGCGGGCCGTTCAAACCCGTCGAAATTCAAGTTTCCGCCGTCAAAATTTGTATTTATTTATTTTTTTGTTCCAATAAAATATGTTAAAAATTAAAAACTCGCAAAATTTGAGAAGCTACTATACGACATTTAACCCTTCAATATGTCTTCAAAGAGACCATGATGCAGAGAAAGTGGTGCTAGTGCTTCCAAGCATAAGCACAAGTCACTATCTATCCAGGAAAAGGGTGAATTTCCATGGTCCGGCACCAGTTAGGTCCCAAGGTTGCCGGACTAGAGAGGTACAGCCTGTATGTATGTATGTATGTATGTATGTATGTATGTATGTATATATATATATATATATATATATATATATATATATATATATATATATATATATATATATATATATATATATATATATATATAATGGTAAAATTTCTATGAACACACCACACACAATCTACTCTAAACACATTTAATTCCCTGGAATCTTAGATAAGAAACAGTGACAACTTCTTGTAATTTATCTTGCTGTACCTAAGGGTCCATTGAACTATAAATGGAACAGTAGTTTTCACTACTGATCTGAATGACTCGCTGGTCAAACAACACAATGATCCAATCAATGATTCAAGGATCCTAATTTGACTGGGCAAGTAGCTCCTTATAGCATAAACAAAGCTTACACTCATAATAGGTCCTGCTGCTCAACATAACAAGCCTTCTGTCAATTGTAGGCTGCCAGGGGGTTGTTTAGCAGTGAGAAATCATGAAGGTCCAGCATTGAGGATGTGTATGCCATAAAACAAAAATATTCTTATCAAAACACTTTACTTCAATATCACTGCACTAGTTTTGATGTATATTTAACTGGAGCAACTATGAGACTACAGTATTTCATATTTTATGCTTTAACAAGATTTGCTGTATGAATAAAACCTTAAAACCAAGTTAATAAAAAAAAAGGAAGAAAGGAGACAAAACACAATACATCTATACACCTGTGCGTAGTGGAGCTCTGGGTGGTGTAGGTGTGTGGGCATGACGCCTAGCCCAAGCTACTATCCTGCCCACACTCCACGATTCTCTGCTACTAACTTGGTACTGATCAAGGTGATGTTTAACCTCTCGTGCTCTCTGGAACTATAAAATTAAAAGTAACTATAAGTAAGTTTTTCATTAAAAAATATTGAAGATAACAGTAAATGAGAAAAAACAAATTATTGGACTTGGTCCATTCAGAAAAATCAAGGAGCTAGTTTAAAAGATACTGCTACTGTAGTCTTTCCTCTCAAAATGTTTTTGTTTTCCCTTTGTACACTTTTACCCTAAAACACCACATGATGGTCTGCCACATATTATTAAATTCCAATAGTTTTTATCAATGAATATTATTTGTTTTTCAGTTTTTCCATATGCTGTTTTTTCTTCTTTCTTCTACTTTGCAACTTTTTCCTGTTTCCCTATTCTTATATTTTACATAATGTTTACCCACTGTGGCAACCAGGACACCTTGCCATCAGGTAATCATGACTAACCCATGAAAGTGTAGAATGTAACAGTAAAACGATGATGATTGAGCAGTTATACAGTAGCTTTAAAAGGCCTCCTGCTTCTATAGGGTAACCTGTGTACTTGATCTACCAAATTTGAAGAAGATGGATGTGACAAAGAAGACAGTGATCTGTTTTCCCAATAGATTAAAACTTCAGCCATCGTGATAATTATGGGTGTGGTCAACTGACCTAAAATCCCCTGCAGGGTATGCATAATAATAATAATAATAATATTAATATTAATAAAAAATAATAATAATAATAGCTGTTTGGTCTTAGAATGTATGCTCGGAAAGATGCATGTTGTACATGATAAAAAGTTGATATTACACTTACTTCTGCAGCACGCTGCTTCCCCAATGGCCAGCACAGAAATTCTTCGCGAGATTTGGCACAAAAGGGTAACACTTGGGAATATTTATATTGGTGTTGATCCAGTGGCAATGCTCTCACCCAAACATACACACACTTGTCAGTAGAAGTACATCTTTTGCACACTGCTTCCAGCTGTCTGGTAAAACAAAGGAAATAATTACACTAATACTATAATTCAGACCTTTCATATATAACAAGACATTTCTGATCACCGAGCTCAGATGTTCAGGCAAAATGCCCATTTTTGCAAATTAAATATAAAATTACCTATTTTGTCTATTTTCACTGATTTTTTATTACAGTATTCTGTCATTAAGAGAAACCCCTATATGTTTTCAATAATTATTTGGGTGTCCTTAACGAAAATCGCTCCGTCCTCCATGGCCTGGACTGTACAGTTTGAGTTGGTTACTTCTCTTTCGAACACAGTTGCACACATTTCACTTACAATGCCTAAAGTGAGCTCTTCTTCAAAACTTAACTTATTTGAAAAGTTTGGTAGCAACGTGTTGTCTATCGATGGGGCAGTACAGTATTATTTTGCATAATGTGCAAAAAATCAGTGAACTACAAGAAGTACTGTACTTTGTTTCTCAACATTTACCGGTAGAGACTTCTAAGCACAAAGCTGCTGCTGCTGCTGCTTGCAAAACTGGCTAACAGAGTACAGTACAGTACATGCCTTCTTATTTCATATACTACAGCCTCTAGTACAGCGATTTTCAACCAATGTGCCGCGGCACATTAGTGTGCAGCGAAGCATCCGTAGTTATGCCGCGTGAGTTTAAATAGCATTTGGATACGTTTTGACATTAGTGGTTCTTTTATGGAGTGCATTAAACTCCTTTTTTTTTCAATAATGCAATAAATAAACAAATGAGTTGTTCATTAAAAGCCCAAATGGCAGTTTTAAATTCTCTCCTTAATTCCGTAGTGTAGATCCACCGATCTCCACTGCCAGCCGTAAGATGCGGTAATGAGCATGTGTGAGTGCAATGAAGTTGCATTCCTGGCTAATATATTCCAAGCCTTGAACACTCTTAATAAGAGTATGCAGGGAAAGAATGAAAATATTCTGAGTTGTACTGACAAAGTTAGCTCTTTTAAGGAAAAACTAACACTGTGGGGAGCCAGAATAAAATAAGAGAACAATGTTGAAATACTTGAACTGACAAAAGGTTGCAGACTGGACAAAAATCTTGTCAGTTTAATTCTACAGTTTGTAACTTCTGAGTAAAAACATTAAAAAGTATTTCCCATCACTTGATGTATCTTCCTTGAACTGGGTGAGAGATCCGTGAGTGCGAGTCGGCAGGATTAACTGTTGCCGAAGAGGATGAGCTGACAGAAATCAGAAACGACAGAGGACTGAAACCGAAGCACCTATCAACAGATATGACTTCATTCTGGTTGTCCCTTCGAGAGGAATACCCCATCATTACAAAGAAGGCAATTGATGCACGTCTTCCTTTCTCAACATTGTATCTGTGTGAAGCTGGCTTCTCTGCTATGAACACAATGAAAAGCAAGAACAGGTCGCGGCTTCAAACACTGGAGGAGGCCTTGAGGGTATGCCTGTCAACCATTCGACCTCGGACATGGAACATCGTGAGACAACACCAAGCACAGGTTTCCCACTGATATTTTTATGTAAGCAAAGACCTTTTATTTTTACTCACATTTATATTTGAATACAATCTATATCTGAAAGTTTCATATAATTTTTTAATGAATGGCATCTTTTTCAATGACATCTTGTTTCAATGTGTAGTAATAACAAATATGCACAAAACTTTCAAATTATTTTGAAAACCATGATCAAAAATACACTTTTGGCAATAAAATTAATAAATTATTATTTTTTTAAATTATGAACACAGTCTTATCATTAATTTTCTTTTAAATTATCAAATCTATCCTTAAATATTGATGGTGTGCCTCGACCATTTTAGTGCCTGGCTCACTGTGCCGTGAGATGAAAAAGGTTGAAAATCACTGCTCTAGTAGGCAATCTCACTTTTTTTTAAAATGTGTGCAAGGCATTCGTTCATGTCAACATTCCTCTGCGGAAACTGGAAAAAAAAATCTTAAGTATTTTTGGGTAAAATATGCTAAAGAGAATGTACCATGCAAGACTATTTTATGGAAAAATTATGAGGATACCTGTAAATGCATCTTTTTTTTTTACCCACATTATCTCTCTGAGAAGCAGTAAAGTTTCAAAGGAGAAAAATTATAAATTGCAAATTTTGCAACAAGTTGATTGGTTTCTATCATTTACTTTTCTAATAGTGTTGTAATTTTATGCATAGAATATTTGCATATTTATTTTTTGAAGTACTGTACTGTAAAATAATTACAGTACAGTACTATGTAATGCCTTTGTTGGCTGTTTGTCTTGACGATATGCCCGATGTTTTTAAAATATTTTAAATGTTTAAACTTTTGGGCTCTACAGTACATAAAAAAAAAAAAAAAAAAAAAATAACCTAGCCCTAATGTCAGGCTTTTCAGATCACATCTCAATGCAAGCAAATTTGTCTTCTAACTCTTAAAAAAAGGTGGTGGTTTCGGTCATTCATGACCAATGAAAATTGGATTTGGGAACGTAATCCTCGATTTATGATTGATGGGCTATGATGAACTTGCTAACAAATGGCGGAGTTTAGGTGTTGAGAGCACTGTTGAATGTACCCCATTTAAGAAATTTAACAGAACCCACCAAAGCTTGAAAAGAAAACTGAGGACTAGCCTAAGTTACTTTCTACAACCATACAGCCTATGTTGGGATAGTCCTCATTAGCCCTTAAACATCAGCAATCATAAACAGATGATGGGTATCTTTTGTCCGACAACAACAGTGTGGAAAGACCCCTTGCTGCAGTAGTGTTGCCGTGACACCCAGAAAAATTAGTAAAATATTATGGGAATCAAAAGTGAGGGTGAGATTGAAGAATTAGTCTATTGGCGGCCTAAATTTTATAGAGATATACAGGCAGCCACCACTACTTTCGCCGGAGGTTTCGTCACGCTCCCCGATGGCGAAATCCTCCATTACAGCAAAAGTGTGTAGCGGCCTGCTCCAAGTGTCTGTTTAACCTAACCTTAGTACAAAGTCTATTGGTGTCCTCAATTTTATAGAGGTTAGCCACCCGAAGTCAATAAGAGACAAAGAAATAATCCAAGCAGCCACCACTATCTAGCCTAAACTGTTTAGCCTGACCGTGGTAAATTCTAACGGGGGACCTTAAATTTTATAGAATAATAATACAGTTTTACCCCGCTTAACGGGCTTTCACTTAACGCGTTTTCGCATATACTTGGTGCCTTGCCAAAGCTGAACTTTCACTTAACGCGGCATTTTTCATCATATACGCATTTTTCATCATATACGCGGTGAGTGTCCGGCTCGAGAGCTATTTTTAGATTCGCACCACCCCCCCACCCGCCACCCTGCCTGACTGCCTGTTTTAGCTCATAAAATTCATACAAATTACCCAGCCAGAATATAATTTACATTGCTGGAATTCTTATAATTTGGTGATCATTTTGAATATAAACAACATATATTTTGCATTAAACATACAATTTTTAGATAAAAATATTTCTCTAGGTAACTATGTTATCTTTTGTCCAAAATATATGACATTTATATTCAAAATATTCCTGGTCTTACAAGGAATCCAGCAATGTCAATTATATTATCCTAACTTTAGTTTGAGGTATTATTTATTAAAATTTAGTGGTTATCCCACACATCTCCTTGGGACGGTGGTGGGGGGTGGGGGGGAGGGAGGGACCGACCGACCGACCATCTGTTACCCCGTGAAGAATTATTTTTTTTTTTATTAACTGAAGATATTTGTTTTAGCTCATAAAATTCATACAAATTACCCGGTCAGAATATAATTTACATTGCTGGAATTCTTATAATTTGGTGATCATTTTGAATATAAACAACATATATTTTGCATTAAACATACAATTTTTAGATAAAAATTGTTCTCTAGGTAACTATGTTATCTTTTGTCCAAAATATATGACATTTATATTCAAAATATTCCTGGTCTTACAAGGAATCCAGCAATGTCAATTATATTATCCTAACTTTAATCTGAGGTATTATTTAATACTAAATGTTATAAACTCTGGAAGGGAGGATTGGTGGGGGGTGGGGGGAGGGTTGGGACTGACCACGCGGTTGGAAGAGGGGGGGAAGGCAAGGTGGGGTACTTTGATTGACAGATAGTGTCGAAGAATATTTTTTTTTTTTTATTAACTGAAGATATTTGTTTTAGCTCATAAAATTCATACAAATTATCCGGCCAGAATATAATTTACATTGCTGGAATTCTTACAATTTGTTGATCATTTTGAATATAAACATCATAGATTTTGCATTAGACATACAAATTTTTGATGTAAAGTTTATTCTGAGTAAATATGTTATCTTTTGTGAAAAATATATGACATTTATATTCAAAATATTCCTGGTCTTACAAGGAATCCAGCAATGTCAATTATATTATCCTAACTTTAGTTTGAGGAATTATTTATTACTATACCTGGTTTTCCCCCAAAAATTTCTCAGAGGGAAGAGCCAGTGAGTGTAGTGTGAGAAGAGGGGGAGGGAGTTGAGTCCATTATTTGAATGGACATTAACTTGGCGACTGTATTTCTCTATTTCTCTTAAGTATTAATTGTGTGCATGTACCATCATAAAATTAAGATGTTATTTTTACTACAACATAGTTATTTGTCGTCAAAAAGTGGAGTTTGGGGGTCGGGCTGGGTTCTATTGGAATTAATCCCATATGTTCTGTTATTCACTTAACGCGGTTTTCACTTAACGCAGGACCCTCTGGGTTCAATTGACCGAGTTAAGTGGGGTACAACTGTACAGGCAACTACCTAACCTAACCAACCACTACCGGGCCGCCTAACCTAACCACTACTTTCGCCGGAGGTTTCGTCACGCTCCCCGATGGCGAAACACAGGCTCACTCACCATGGTGGTTACAGTTGTTTGCAAGAGATAATTATTATAATGATCTGAGTAAGTAATGAGCAATAGAAAGTAACATGTGAATATAATAAATTAGTGATAAAAATAACAAGATGAGCAACAGAAAGTAACAGGTAAATATAATAAACTAAGTGATCAAAATAACAAAATGAGCAACAGAAAATAAACCTCTTCATACAGTTCTCATGACTAATCCTGAGAATTTCCTCACACCTTTCTTAGAGTAGGAATCTTTTCTGAAGCAAGCTATTTCTAAAAGAAAAATATTTTAACCCATTTCAAGGAGGTTTTTGTAAAAAGAACCCACGGAAACAAGAAATTTAAAATTGGTTCTAAGGACCAGGTTGAATTAAAACTCTTCAGTGGCCTCAGTTTGAAGTTTTTTTTTTTTTAAAGGGGGAATAGCCCACCCGGACACAGGTCATCAACCCACAATGGGGCCTAGTGGCGAAAAAATAAAAGTAAAAAGAAATAAAAAATAGAAAAGAAAAATATTAAATCAATCTAGACCACACAGTTACCGGAAAACCAGTTTTTTAAAGCGAGACAGATTGTATGAATATGGAAACACAGAAGAAGGCAGAGCATTCCACAGTTTGACTCTGTGAGAAAAGAAGGATGTACTATAACGGGTTATTCTTGTGTGACCGACAGCCACAGAGAAATGGTGGGCACCGCGGGCAAGACGAGTGTTACGAGCCCACGGCCATGCTGGCAGTACACAGGATGCTAAATCCACCGGACATTGCCCGTTAAAGTACCTGTAAAAGAGAGAGTGAAGCAAAATCGCAGCAAAGAGAAAGGGAAGAAAGATTATCAACTAAAGAAGGAGAGTTATAAGACAAAATGCCTATGATTCCACCATATCTAACAGTTGGGCGGAAGAAGACCCACCCCAGATATGAGAGTAGTACTCCGAGTTAGGATGAATGAAACCCTTATAAACTTAAAGCAGCTGCCCAGGAGTGAAGTAGCTATGGCATCTGTACAGCATTCCCAGCTTTTGGTAGGCAGATTTAGCAATGTTGTGGATGTGTGGCATCCATAACATACTAGAAGAAATGGGGAGACCTAGCATATCTATTTTAGAACTTGGCAGAATGATCACGCCCTGAAATGTGATTGGTGGGAGATCATCTAATTTGAAAAATTTAATTGGCAATTACTGAGTTTTATTACTATTGAATTTACCAAGTTTTTACCTGCCCATTCGGAGATGCTGAACAAATCCGTATTGATAGATGAAATGATATCAGCTCTAGAAACAGATCAAGTTTGAGAATTAAGGGGAAGGGAAAAATGTGAAAAAGAGTGAAGAATAGAATCATCAGCATAAGAATGGATAGAACTAGTCATAATATGAAGTAAATCATTGATAAAAAGAAGAAAGAGAGTAGGTGAAAGAACAGAACCTTGTGGGACACCAATATTGGTGGAGAAAGAGCGAGAGATCGATGCCTCGACAACAACTGCCATGGATTGGTTCTCAAGGAAGCTAGAAATTAGAGAACAAAGTGGGGGAGAGAAAACATAAGAGGGAAGTTTAGAAAGCAAAGACATGTGCCATACCATGTCAAATGTTTTGGAGATGTCGAGGGCCACGACGAAAGTTTCCCAAAAATCCCTAAGAGAGGATGACCAATGAGGGGTGCAGTAGGACAGCAGATCACCAGTAGATCTCGCCTGGCAAAAGCCATACTGGTGATCCGACAAAAGAGAAAAGCGTTCAAGGACGGAGAAAATGAGAGTTTAAGATAGTTTCGAAAATCTTAGAGGGGGATGAAGTTAGGGCAATGGGGCAGCAGTTGCAGGGATTGGAATGGTCACCCTTCTTTGGGATGGGCTGAACCAAGGTATGCTTCCAAGAAGAAGGAGAAGTTTGGGTTTTGAGGCAAAGGCAAAAGAGGTGAGCAAGCACAGGAGGCTAGAATTTCAGCACACTCCCTCAGAACACGAGGGAGTATTCCGTCTGGTCCATGCACCTTACTCACATCCAACCTGGATAACACACCAGCAACCCTACAAGTGGAGATTATAGGAAAGTGCATAGGAGCAGCAGGAGTAGGATGGATAGAGTTAGAATCGTTTAAGGTGGATTTAGAGGAGAATAAGGTGCCAAAGAGATTGGTTTTATCAGGGGTAGAGTTGGCTATAGAGTTATCAGGTTGGAAAAGAGGAGAAAAAGAAGGAGTGCAGAAGTTATTACAGATGTTTATGGTTAAAGACCAGAAGGATTTACTAGAAGAAGAGTTAGTCAGGTCAGCGGTCTTTCTTTTTATAAAATTCCGCTTGGCCCTACGAAACAGAGCCTTCCAACGATTCCTAGAAGTAATGAAAGAAGAGTGGGTAATAGGAGAAGATAGTTTCATAGCTAGATATGCCCTATGTCTCTCCCTACAGTATTTGTAAAAAAACATCTGTGGAGAAGTCACTTGTAAAGTCTTCTTCTTTAAAGTTTGACTGAGGCATATTCAAATGATGCACATGTACTGCCAGATAATATTCTACCAAAAATCTTAAATATGGAAAGCCATCATCAATATAAAATAAGTTGGGGAAGGCTTAAATTTTGTTTAATGTACAGAGAAGACAAGAATCATTTTCAATTAAGACTCGTATTACCTATTTGAAAATTTCCAGGGATTTAAGAAAAACTGCAACTACTGTGTTATTATTAATGGACAAATGAAGCACTGATCCTGAATGTCTGTTTTCTACCAGACATCATAGCTAGGCATACCTTCCACTCATAATTCATGTAAGATGGGATGATATTTTGTCCCATCTACTAATACCAATCAGCCCTCACTCTCCAGCATTCTATCCCTTTATTTTTTAGCAACTTGGTATAACAGTTACTCTCTCGGAACCTGGAGTGAGCTGAGGTTCCCTAGTCAGCATACTCCATGACAAGGCTTACTTTCAAGAGTTAGAATCTAGAACTAAAGCCATCACTCAGTTCCAATTTACTAATTCAATAACCCAAAAGAAAAGGGAAGGTATCCAATGCACCAGGCTCTGCTAGAAAATAGAATTTCAGGATTAATTTTCAAAATCTAGCCATGCCCTGAAGCCAAGCAGCCCTAGGAAAACAAAAGTCAACTAGACAAAGCGAAAGGTGGTGGTGTTACAAGTACAGTATTAGGAAGACATACTCCTGGGAGAGGTGACCAGGTTTTTGCCATCTTCTAGGGCAGGGGTTCTCAACCAGGGGGGGGGGGGGAAACTGATACTAATATGGAAAAAATAAAGGATTTTCAGTATTATATGCATATTATTTGGAATGCACTTTTTGAGGCAGACAATCTTGGAAAGGAGGGGGGAATGACATTCTGACATATGGTGAAAGGGGTGCATGGGGCAAACAAGGTTGAGAACCACTGTTCTAGGGTTTGAAGAATTAAACCACCCCTCTTTCCTTTATAACCAGAAATTTATGTTTTCTCTTCCTAAGCCTCTCTAAGAACTTAATCAATAATCTCTCACATTCTTTCCTCCATTGTGAAATCATTGATTCACCAGCCTCCTCCAATGGTCCATCAACCATCCTGATCTTGTAGTTAATCATGCTCTGTTCATATAAGCTTTATTGCAAAGCACGAACTATCACTTCATACTACTCCTCTCATTTATCCTTACCCTACCCTCTTCCAACATATACCAGGTCAATTACTTAATGTTCTTCCCTAATACTCAGTCACCTATTCTTGACACTTACCTTTGGTTACCACATTTATTTATTTCTTACTCAAATAATTTCTTTCTGTCAACCTTCTTGTTGTTATCACCTGGGTACACGTAATGAACTTCATAATATATATTTCTTAAATATTAAAGCAATAATACCTGATCTACATCTCTTACCTGACCCGCTCCTCCCATTCCTGAGAAGTACTTCCATCCTCCTCCTTGTTTCTGTCTTCTGACACTGTCTCCATTTTTACAAATGCTATGTTTGTCTTGTCAGAAGATGCATTAAAAGAAAGGCTCTTAATAACAGGCGAGTTACTTGTAACCTTCGTTTGCACATTATTGAGAACAGAAGTGGTAGAAGTGACCCCAGAATTTGTGGTATTGGTGAGGGGTTTGAGCAAGCTACATACTGTTGGAGATGTTGCCATGGTGATACCTCGTAGAAGTGACACTCCTGCAGTCATATTTTTTGCATTACTGGGTGTGCACTTCACTGAGTTTGATGTAGGTTTTAATGCACCATCATTTCCCATACCTCTGACCACAAAGGGTGGTATTTGCAGTACTGTCCCCGTGTCTCCTGCGTTACTGCAAACTATCATTGGAGGATGCTGTGTTGGAGTCATCTTTCCTTTACTTGTTACTAGCTGTAGACCACTTGACCCGGCAACTTGTTGGCTTCCCTGCACTGTGGTCAATGCTGAAGTATTATTTGATGTTGTAAGGATGCAACTGCTTACTGTTGGGGCTGAACTAGTGGCCATGTTCATACTAGAAGTTACTTGACTGGAATCTGAACAAGTTTTCCCTTTGGCGAGTTTACCTGCTGATATCAATTGCCCATTATTGGTTATGAATTTAATGTTTGCAGTTGATAATGGTCTCTGAATAAATCTGGTTGATGTGGAGCTACTATTTTTTACTTCCTGAACTATTTTCAGTGGCATTACCTGTATGTTTGACTTTAAACCTACAGGTGTTTGAGTATATGTTACTTGACCCTGCAACATGTGCAGTGTGTCACCAGCACCACCCTTCAACCCCTTTTTATTCAAAAGTTGTTTAACTAAAGTGTGTTTCTTATCTTGAATGGCAGCCTTCACCAGAAGCTGTTGTAAAGGTCTTTGAGAAAGTCTGCTGGTCGATAATCGTGCTATGGTCTGATTTCCCTGAGTAACATGGGATGGTCTCGACACACCCTGAATACCGCTGGTTGATGGAGCCATATTCATTGATCCCCCATTATCTTTCACTGCATTTTTATTCGGAGAAAAATTTAGAATTTTTATTGGTGTACCAGAAACTTTGGTATTGTCCTGCTCAACCTCAGCCTTTACTTCTAATGTTACTACCTTTGATCCTTCCCTTTGATGAGTCAATATTTCACTTGGCTCTTGTTTTATGGTAAAACCTTCAGTGTCTCCTTTCTGCTGTTTTTCTGGGACATGCAGCTTAATTATCTTTTGACTAACATTATGCTTGCTAACTATTCCATGCTGATTAACTAGCTTGCTATCAAGAGCATCCACTTCATTTTCCTGCTTATTTGCACCACCCTGAGCAATCTTGAGAGCTAAAGAGTACATATGAGCTGGGATGTAGTATGGCACCAGACGTCCATCTGGCTGTCGCACGTGTATTTTACAAACTTTGCCTTGAGCACCATTGACATTGGTCATTTTGTCACCCAGATGGTCTTTTGGTGGTTTAAGTCCTTGTGCCTTATTTTCTTCTGTTCCCTCAAGTTTAATTTTAGACTCTACTGTACTAATTTTTTCACGCTTTTCATCATATACTTTGTTTATAATTACATCACCACTAACTTCATTTTCACACTGAGTACCAATAAGGGAAAGTTGTTTACATGAAGCCACTGATTCAACCATCTTTTTTCTCACATTTTTAATGATAGTGTTTTTGTCAGAACTTATTATAACTTTCTTTACACTTTCCTGTTTAACAGGAGTTGTCTGTTTAACACAATCAACAGTACTTTTCTGTTCAACACTGTGAACAATTGTGATATTTTCTTCAATTTGAGATGACACCACACCAGTTTCCAGTTCCTTGACGAGAGTAGCTGGACAATTCTCTTCTTTCATAATCAGTTGTGTTGTCTGTTGTGATCCACTGATATTGGTTGTCCTCTCTGAGCCTGGTTCATATACCCAGAGGTCATACCATTTCTCCTGACCTGGTCAAAATAGAAGTCAGGTGAAACTTTTTATTTTGTTAATTTTAACTGAAGTACCTAAGTAAAATAATAAACAATTGAAACACCAATACAGATATCCCTCACTTAATTTTAATTCGGTTTAGTGATAAATTTTTTTTTACATCCTTTCTCACTTAATGCGAGGCCAAAATTCGCTTTAGTGATAGCTTGATTCACTGGGAAGGGGAAAAACTGAAGATGAGGTGGCCTGTGAGATGGCATGTTGCCATTGTTACATGCAATGAAACTAGAAGTTTTGGAAAAATCATTACAATACTTTAAGTGGCTTAGAAATAAAGAAAATATAAAATAAAACTAAAACTTATGTAAAATGAAGAGCATGGGTGTTCACAGTATGTGCGTGGAGTGTACATACGTGTGCAGACAGTAGGCTGTAATTGTGTCGCCAACTCGCCACCCAGCCATGCTCCCCGTCTCTCAATGTGACGGAACACACACACACACAACCAGTCAGCCCTCATTGAGACAAGATGTGTCATGTAGGCACTCCCTCTTGGCAGCCTGGTCAAGTCTGTTTGGCCCTACACTCCCCTGCTACACCCTAACCTCCTCCCAATTTCTTTACCAACCTCACTACACCCAGGTTTATCAGCAAAACATTTAAGTGATCAGTGCAAAGATTGGTTACCAAACAGTGATCAAATAGTGTATCCCAAGGAAAAAACAAGCATGATTCACAACAAATTACCAGTGAACTGAGTAGTACTAACCCATGGGTACTTTGTCGATGACCCTCAAAGTGCCAGGGACAAGACTGCCACAGTGTTTACGACTACAAATATTAGCAGATGTCTACCAATGTACTATGCTATGGAAAGTCTGCTGGTGGCCCTCAGTGCTGCCATTGAGTTAAAGGCCACAGCAGACAAACACTTCGGTACGTCCACAACAAAAGATGTTCAGTAGTGAAGAACTCCAGGTACACCTTGTACAGTTTAAAGCAAGGGAACGGATATCCTGATGGCAGTATTATTGCGCTACTAAAACAGCTGAACATATTTCACGCTTGAAGTTGTAGACAATGACGTCAAAAACAGAAGCCCATCAGGACCATCATCTCCAGTAGAAAGCAGAGAAACCTACTCCTGACAAACCGTACCAATACACTGAAGGTCCCCGAACTTGCCACAGTCTACCCTCCTTATCACTCTCCAACCTCACCTCCTAAGACAACAAATTTGAAGAGCTCGCTACCACAGTCAGGGCAATTGCTGCCAAAGTCGTCATCATCTGCGAGTCGTGACAAATTGTTCTTGAAACTTGTCACATTGAGGGATATCAACTCTTTCATTACCTTCGCACACATGGACATGGAGGGGACGTTGCCCTCTTCTGTCAGGTTGAACTAGGTCTGTCATGCCTGGATGTTTTAGTCTTAACTGATGTGGAGGCACTAAGGGTACATCTTGTGCCATGTGCCCACCCTCTCCACACTGCCTCTATCATATACCTGTATTGTGTGAAATACCATCTGCCTGGCTCACCCACCAGAGACATTCTTATCAATCACTCTCATTACCACCTCAAGAGTTAGGCAATCATGTGTCAAGCTAGTACTATGTGGGGATTATAACAAAATTGACACCACTGATATCGAGGACCAGCTGCTATTATCACAAGCTGTGAATTTCCCTACACACAGTCAAAATACTAGAGATGTATTTCTTTTTCATGTTGGGCGGCTGGTATTTTTTTCCGAATTTCTCTGATATTTTTGTAGCCTCCCGTAAATTTACATTTTGAGTTGCTTCCAATACAAGATATCATTATACAGTGAACCCTCGCTTTACGCGGTTTCACTTTACGCGTTTCTACATTTACGCAGTACCCTGCCAGAACCGGAATTCCCACTTTATGCGGTGCATCTACTCATATACGCGGGTGATGTATAATTTTTTTATTTAGCTCATAAAATTCATACAAATTACCCGGCCAGAATATAATTTACATTGCTGGAATTCTTACAAATTGATGATCATTTTGAATAGAAGCATCATAGATTTTGCATTAGACATACAAATTTTAGATCTAATGCAAGTATTTTGTTTACTCAGAGCAAATATGTTATCTTTTGTGCAAAATATATGACGTGTATATTCAAAATATTCCTGGTCTTGCAAGGAATCCAGCAATGTCAATCATATTATCCTAACTTTAGTCTGAGGTATTATTTATTACTAAAAACGTAAATATACTGTTATAACCCAATCATTTCTCTGGTAGGGAGGGAAGGTGGGGGTGAGGGGTAGGGAGGGAGGGAGGGACCCAGGGAGCAGGTGGGAAGAGGGGGGGAGGGGGGTATTTTGATTGACAGATAGTATTTGGGTAAGTATATTTTGTTCATTTATTGAAGATATTTGTTTTAGCTCATAAAATTCATACAAATTACCGGGCCAGAATAAAATTTACATTGCTGGAATTCTTACAATTTGATGATCATTTTGAATATAAACATCATAGATTTTGCATTAGACATACAAATTTTAGATCTACTGTAAGTATTTTGTTTACTCTGAGTAAATATGTTATCTTTTGTGCAAAATATATGACATTTATATTCAAAATATTCCTGGTCTTACAAGGAATCCAACAATGTCAATTATATTATCCTAACTTTAGTCTGAGGTATTATTTATTACTAAAAAGGTAAATATTTTGGTTTCTCCCAAACATTTCTCTGGTAGGGAGGGTTGGTTGGGGGTGGGGGGGACGGAGGGACCGATCGACCATCTGGCGAGGTTGGAAGAGGGGGGGAGGCAAGGTGGGGTGTTTTGATTGACAGATAGTGTCGTGAAGAATATTTTTTTTATTATTAACTGAAGATATTTGTTTTAGCTCATAAAATTCATACAAATTACCCGGCCAGAATATACAGTAATTTACATTGCTGGAATTCTTACAATTTGCTGATCATTTTGAATATAAACATCATAGATTTTGCATTAGACATACAAATTTTAGATCTAATGTAAGTATTTTGTTTACTCTGAGTAAATATGTTATCTTTTGTGCAAAATATATGACATTTATATTCAAAATATTCCTGGTCTTACAGGGAATCCAGCAATGTCAATTATATTATCCTAACTTTAGTTTGAGGTATTATTTATTACTATACCTTAAAATCTAGTGGTTTTCCCCCAAACATTTCTCAGAGAGGGAAGAGCCAGGAGTGTGAGAAGAGGGGGAGGGAGTTGAGTCCATTACTTGAATGGACATTAACTTGGCGACTGTATTTCTCTATTTCTCTTAAATATTAATTGTGTGCATGTACCATCATAAAATTAAGATGTTATGTTTACTAGAACATAGGTATTGTGTCGGAAAAAGTGGAGTTTGGGGGTCAGCCGGTCTCCATTTCATTTAATCCCATATGTTATGTTGTTCACTTTACGCGTTTCTCGCTTTACGTGGGCCTCCGTGGGTTCAATTGACCGTGTAAAGTGAGGGTTCACTGTAGTGTTTTTAGATAATTTACACATTTACTTTCATTCATTTACAAAAACTATTGTCAAAAGTAGTACAGTACTGGAAAGTACTGTACTCTGCAAAGGTGTTGTACAATCATTAGCAATATTTTCAGATTTATTTATTTATTTATTTATAATTTTTTTTTATGGGATTAGCCCACCAGGGCACAGGTCAATGACCCACATTAGGGCCTGGGGGCAAAAATATAATAATAATAATAATAATAATAATAATAATAATAATAATAATAATAATAATAATAATAATAATAATAATAATAATAATACAAATAATGACAATAATTTTGGGCAGTGAATAGTTCACCATCCCTAGACATAGACACCAAATTGACAAATTACACCAACACCACCATGGAAGCTCACCACCACTTCTTCCCCGAGAAGTCCGTCAGATCACACCCAGCTGACTTGCCCTGGATCACACCTCGGATCAAAAGACTTATGAGGCAAAGAGACAGTGCCTTTTATCTCAATGACCACAACTGCTACAGGTCCCTTCGCAACCAAGTCATCCGTAAGATATGTGCTGCAAAGAAGTCTTACTACCTAACAAAGCTGCAACACCTGATGCAGACCAACATCAGTCAGTGGTATGGTAAGCTTAAAGAACTAATGGTGATGCAGCTGAGCCATCAAACCACCATTTCGCAACTATGTGCCAGAAGCTCCCATCGGCTCGACACAACCAGTCTCCATGCTTACCTACCAAGCCCCCTTTCCCACTGATTTAGTGGAAGAATTTGAAGTAGCAAAAGGTTTGGACAAACTGAAGTTAAAACGCTCCAATGACTTACCAATGAAACTCTAAAAGGTGTTCTCCCCAGAACTAGGTATATCCCTTTGCTCCATCATCAATGTTTCCCTCAGTCAAGCAAGATGCCTCAGCCGACTAGAATACCTCATATATGTCACCAAAGCCCAAGTCAACAAGCCCACAATCCTTAAATAAGCTAAGAACCTTTGCCATCACCCCATTACCCATCTTAATCTGCAAAAGTTTCATTTTTGACTGGGCTTATACTGATATTGCAGGCACAATAGATCCTTAGCAATTTGGGAATATGAAAACTTCCTCCACCACTCACTCTCTTGTCAGCTTTCTCGAGTACATATACGTACTGCCATTTGGAAAAATGAAAGATGTCGGTGGTTGTCGCCTTCATTGATGTTACCAAAGCATTTGACCTATTCGACGACAATTTAATCATCAGTAAAACTATCAACCTTGGGTTTCGGAGGAGTCTAATACTATGGCTTCCAGACTTCGTTAGTGACCATATGTTTCCGAGAGGCTGTTTCCACTTTTTAGTCACTCACCTGTGGTGTCTCCCAAGGCACCAAGATGGGACTGCTCTGCTTCCTTATGTTTATCAATGATGCCCTAAGAGAAACCCCTGCTTGCTGGAAATATGTCGATGACTCCACCATTGGGATCAGTGTCAACAACTCAGCTCCCGACTACACCAC